GTGGGGGGGGGGGGAAGAGAAGCAAAGTCCTAACACATCTCAGCCAAATTAATTATCTGATGAGAATTTCCCCTTCTGAGGCAAAAGCAATGATGTGTAAACTTGCAATATTTGTGCTTTTGGGACATCCTGAATCTACACGCTACAAAAATACACTGTAATGCTGTGTTAGTACTTTTCAAGCAATGTAGACTGTTACCCTTTTATTCATAAGGTCTCACTTCATTAGCTAAATATTGCATTTTTTTTTAAATTTGAAATAAATGTACCGAAAGAGTTTCACACAACACTAATTTACTACGACAGTTGTTCTCATTATATGATTCGTAATTGGCGAGAATCACGGATCAGTACCTAAAGGGTAGCATTGTGACAAAATTACCTACAATCGATATTAACCATTAACTTCTTAATTTGTATGAGGAGCACTCTAGAGGGACCCTAAATTCAAAGGTGACTTACACGGAGTGGAAACATCTTAAGAAGAAGACAGTGGAAATCAGTCTGTTTCTTCTGAGACAGAATTCACATGCGAAGGAGTTCTGTGGATATGTATCTCTGTTTATCTATTTACTAGCCTGACATTTGTATGCAAGGTACATTTTGGAATATTGGATTGGTAAGACTTTCATGTGGGTATGACCACAGTCCACATTTACAACACAAATGCACACGAGGTATTTTTCTAAGAATCTTTATAAACTTTTTAAGAGGCTAAGTCTAAAAAAATTTGACTGTCATTTTATTACGGTTTATATGAAGTATGGCAAACACGGACTGCAGAAGACGCTGACAGCTGCTCCCGCTCCTACTTTCTTTGGGTCAAACATGATTCAAGGGAATGTGTTCTGATGTGTACTGACACCTGAATGACTCAATTCTCAACTAATGAACACAATAATAAATTATAAAAATTAACACAGTTCAATTCCAAATACAAACTAAATGATAATATGTTACATGATCTCTGCTCCAGCAAACCAGAGCTTGTACATTCACAACAAAAATGGAGTGCACATGATCAATGTATTATTCCACAATCTCAGTCTCCATGGTTTAACTCAACCCTTAGAAGTTTTTTTAAGCTAATGTATGGCAGTTTAATTCATTTTATATTTATTGTCCCAAGGGTGAGAAAAACAGAGTTTACTTCAGCTAGTTTAAAATCTTTGCTTGCAAGGAATTGGAATGTTATTGCACAATAATATATCCATGCCATGATACGCAAACAAATAAAACATCATACGACAATTTACAATTCTCTTTTTGCCAGTAACTGCCGACTAATAAAAGGAGGAAGTACGAAGACGTACCTTAACACTTTTAATCATTTCATATGTTCTTTCGACACGTGGTATACCCTGAATAGACCAAATAAATGGTCTAAAATAATGACCTTTCTCTCTTACACGACAATTTTCATATGAATATGAAAGGGTTGTTTCTCTACTGTAAAATGTCTCTGAATAAACAAAAGAAAATAAATGTCGGACATGGCGCAAAGTCAATCACACCTGATAATAAAAGCACAATTCAAGATGAGAAATGCGTAAGGAAAACACACTTCTTAGGTAGCGTGGTGGAAGGCTAAAAAAATTAAACAGGGGTCTCTGAACCTTGAATCAATGCGTCCTAGGCAACATTCACCTCAGATTTGCGATACTGAGTACAACCTACACACACGACTAAACAAACTACATACCACACGCTTCGGAGCTTCAGCCGCTGATACATATTTCATGAAAAATGTATGACATTTGCTTTCTTTTGCATACGAGACATTATGTAGTTCAACACAGACAGAACATACCTTCCATCCCCAAGTTACAACCAAAAACGTTACATAACTTTATATAATATCAAGAGTCTCATTATAGTTACGATTTTTTAAGTTCTGAACAATTCTGACGCTAAAATGTATCTACTACTTAACATCCAGTTGTTACCATATTCTCTAGCGATATTTGAATTCATTCACATTCAATGTAAAACAATATCATTCTCGGATGTACCGTTAACTGACCTCATAAAACCTGCACTGGATAGGAAAAACAAAAGTTGAAGATATAAGGAGACTGTGATTATGGGTACATTATCCTAATAAGATCCACTGCCTTACAAGTTCATTCATTATCTACAATCACGATATCATAAAAACTCTCCTTTTAATTTCATACTGAATTCTGGTCAATAACTGTGTAAGTTCACGCACCTCACCTTGGGGCAATACAATGATTCATGTTACCCACCATGAACGTAGCCAACCAAATACTGAATGAATATCCAACACAGTGCCAGAATCCTGCTAAATAAAACACAAATTTCAAAACAAGTATTAATGTAACGAACAACAAAATATATAGTGAGAAAGTATTACATTTGAATTTAAAGAAGAAATCCTTCAAATTGTGATTTCCTTTTCCACAAGTTAAATGCAAACTTAAACTCAAATTTGATGTATCACAACATAACCTAATAAAACTTAATGCAGTTCCCCAACAACAGGAAACTGGCACAACACAAACAAGATGCAATTATTTGGATCAGCAGAGAACACCTAAAGCACGACTTCTCCTCTCTTGCCACTAAGAGATCTGCGATGCAAGACTGATGATTGAACACACAATTTATTATAATAATGATTATAAATGACACACGATGGCAGGGCGATGGATATGAACATTGTTTACCAACTGCCTCTGCAGCTAAACAAAACCACATAAAAAAGTTTGCGTAGTATGTTGAGTAGCACAACACCAGTCTGACAGTTCCTACATTTCACTGCGCAGCGGCCATCGACAAATACAGTTTATGCCGACCCTACCATACGATACCCATGACTAAATCGTAGCCTCACGAATCAAGACGTGGTGATGGCTGACGGGGGAGGCGACGGCTGCTTTCAGCTCTGCTTGATACGTTTGCGAGGTGGGCCAATGGGGGGGATCTGCTGAGTAGCCAGTGCTCTGAATGCCTCTGCAATAAGGTGAGGGTGGGATTGTATCATCGACTTCCAACCAGAAGTCTCCATCACATCCGTAGCATGCCTGCAACAAATAACTTAACGTACAGAACCTGTCATTTTCAAGAATCGAAGAATTGGCAATATTTTTACGTTACACTGCTACCTTCAGTATTGTATAGTTCTAGTGAAACAGTAGTAACGAGATAACATAGCAACATATCTAGTGGCTCAAAATCTTAATGGCCTCCCCTCTTGAACATAGCCATATTTTCTATTGTCTTACACCTATAAGTAATACCAGAAAAAGATATGTATTATGTAAGAAGCAAAATAAAATTATTAAATATTTTAAAAACAAAGGAAGCACATATTTTAGAAGGCATACAAGCAGTTTGGTCATAATTAAAATTGTGTGTGTGTAACCTAAATACATTTCTTGTTTCAATAAAAGAACACAAATAACACAAACTGCAAGTATTTGAAATAAAAGTTCCCCTGGAAAATATTTCAACCTAAAATATATGAAGTAAATGGGAACTAGGAGATTTTACATATTGAGAAACTACATTAGTAATACAGCTTACCTAGTAAAGCAATCCCTGACCAACTCTGCTTTTGCCAAAATCATGCACGGTTTTCCATTTGTATCCACGTTTGCCAACCATGGCATTTGGTTTTATGTATCCATCGTTTTTATACGTACAGACAGAAAAATCAATGGCTTCCACATCAACAGATCCACAGCTGCCAGGGTCCGGGCTGTAATGGCATCCGAAACCAGTTTTCTAGCTTCCAGATAACCATTGCAGTGTATCTATTTGTGACATTTTTGGATATTTTATGTCTAATGTAATTTGGCCTACACATCATTAATTTGTCTGAGTTTAGTGAAGGAACGGGACACTTGGCACGAATGAGATGGGAGAATAATATTAAGAAGGCTCCAATGGAAAAATGTTATGAGAAAGATGAAATTTTATTTAGGATCATGCTGGTATGTTGGGCTCCAATACCGGTGTAGATATATTATTCATATTATCAGTAAAATGTAATCTGTTTCAGGCTCAATTGCATAAAGAATCATCTTACCAATAGCAAAATAAGCATAAAAAGTATAAACTTTTTTTATTCATATCACCAAATGTGTCTAAGATTATGAATGTGTGAACAACCAAATTTTCCAACTCAATTTTAACCCCATTCAGTATGACACGACCTTGAATCAAACAGGTGTAATTCAGCGTGAACTCATCAGCCTCGCAGTAAGAAGTACACTATTTATATTATGGTGAAGTTTCTGGTAATCCAGACTATGGTTTCTCACGGTTATCTTCAGCCACTTCAGACGAAACCTAAGACAATGCCCTTCTGTCACGTAGATATGACGTTCCTCATCGGTATGAACTTCCAAAGTTGAACTGAAGCAAACTCAAAAGCAAGTAGTCGGTTCAAATTCAAATTCGCACATCCATAATTAAAATTAAAGAAGATAAAATTCTGTGAAGTGAAAACAAATTGAATTCTTTAAGGACTCACGTATTAATGAAGTCAATTGACTGCGCCTTTAGCTGGTCAGCGCTATGCAGGTCTGCCAGGATCAAGATGTCTGCTGCATTCTCTATTGACAGGTTTGTGCATAGAGCCTCTTCACACATGACTTTTAACCTTTCCAGCGCATACTGCAAGTCCGAAACATATACTGTAAATATCTGACATGGTCTTCAAACAAGTGAATATTAAAATGGCTGTCTTCAAGACAATGACAGTTTCATGAATATAATGATGCTGAGGTAAATAAATATAAAATAATATTTGTGTTTGGGACCTTAAGAATAAACTCCAGATGGTGAAATTTCCATACAATGCTTTCTTTGGGGATAAATAAATGGAACAATAACCTGTGGGACATCATAAATTGTAACATAACGAGCAATCCTATCCAAATAGACTCGCAACTGAATGGCACCATGTTTGCATACTTACCTTGTCAGCAGCGGCGAGCAAGTCATCGGCCATCTTTTCAAGGTTTGCTGCTTTGCCAGTATATATAAAACGCAGCATCTCGCGCAGAACCTCGTGATCTACGTCTGTTATCTCTACCCGGTTGTGTTTTCGTTCTTCCATCTCATGCTCAAACATGGCTGCAAACACGGGACTCCGAGCTGCAAGGAACACAACTTGTCACACATAATTTAAATCTTTATGCAGACTGATCAAAAAGTCTCAAAATCAATGAAACAAAGTATACAAAGACATTAAAAAGTAACCAGCTCTCATTCTGTGCTCAAATGAGCTCGCCACTGGATCCTGTCCAGAGACAGTTCAATTTAGTCTACCAATGCATATCAAAATTTTCTTTCATTCTTTTCAATATTATCATATGCCTAGTGAAATAATACATAGATTAAAATAAATATTTCTGGATTGTACGCATCATATCTCACAACATATGAGCCTTTCTCACCTGCAAGTATCGCTTTGTGAGCCTGGAACTCCCGTCCGCTGACTGACAAAGTCACATCACTGAACTTCTGGTTCTCAAACAGCAGACCAAGGTCATCTGACAGGCGGCACTCTGGCACTTTGAATTGTATCGCATTAGACTGCCCAGAGATGTTGACACTATCAGCTACTACGCTCACCTGAATAAAATTCAGCATTTGAGTCATACACGTGCTAACGTCAATGACGGTACCACAGTACCTAGACTTATCTTATATCACACATATTTACAAGACTAATGGACAGATAACAAAGAAAGAAAGATCTCATGATGGCTGTCTGCATGTTGCTAATTCCATAAATTCCATATTTAGTGCTTAAACTGGATTCACGAAACTTGCAGTTTATCAGTGCACTAGATCCGGCACAATTCGCCAACAGATCCGCTCGGCATTTTGAGCAGGTATTTCACCTGGGGTAAAGATGGATGGAGTGAGAAGCACATCACTAGCTCTAGTGCCATAGGATACAGTTTTAGAGCCCCAACAGACAATTAAAATTTAAAGTTTATATAGCAGGATATTTTCATATGCACTCAGTCACTTACGTATTATAAAAAAATTATAACCAATCACTACTCTGCTCGTATGTTTGCTGTTTTAGTACAAAACAGAAGTACGCATATGAACGTATGTAAATTATGACATTTCAGACGTTCCTGCTGCTTCCATCACCAGGGCGATGAAGACCCTGACGATCAAGTACCTCTGAAATGTTGACAAACCTCTAGCAAACTACACAGCGCAACAACCCCAAAGACAGCCATCTTCATACTCGCAAATGTGAAAACCTCGAATCCCTCTATACTTATCCCTGACCATGAGAATAAATGAGAAAGGGTGGGGAATTATCGACACTGGCACCATGACAGTCTTCGATTGTTTGTGCATCCCCTTCTGCAATTCAGCCCTCCTCACGTAATACTGCATTCTATACGATGTACGGTACCTTCCTTAGTAAAGCCTCGTAACAGACGCGCGAGGCTTCAACACAAATAAATATTGTCACTACTTGTTACCAAAAATGACTTATATTGTACAGTTGACTCAAAATAAGACATAGCACACTAAATACAATACTGGTACATATTACCAGGTAAAATAACTTATGTAAACAAATGTATGTTATTCCTGTACCAAAATATGAGATTTTTTGCCAAAAAAATCCCCAATGTTTAGCTTGTTATATAATTTTTGGCATAATGTAAAGTTCCTTAGCATTTATACCACCAGAATGTATGGCACTAAAATGGCTGACAGTTATTCTTTCTGACAAGGTATTAAGAATTCATGGAATACTTAGCAGACGAACATTAGCATGCGACAACGGACAGAACTGAAGAGGGAAGATTAAAATAATACAGATGTCTAACAAAACACACATGCAGCTTTAATTCTCGTCTAACTGGAACAGTCCGAGAGCTTAATCTGTGGTGTTCAGGATGATGATGGACAGCAAGATAAACTCGGGAAATAAAGAAATCACGAGAAACAGATTACATGCTACAGGAGAAATTATGACGTCATAATATATTCAACGACAAAGAGTTAAATGCCTAAAATAAAAATATTGCATGATATCATACACATACTCCAGTGATTTTGTTAACTGGGTCTAAAATTAGCGATCTCTCCAGTTGAAAGAGTATCATTAAATAAAGAATCCAACACAAAACTGTTAATAATAATGTTCAATATAATTGAAGAAGAGAGTGCACAAAAATAAAAGAATGGCAATCTCCTGTCTTACCTCACAAAATATTGTGAGCTTGTCATCGGGCAACAGCCCATTCGCTTCATCCAACAGGAAGTCTCGCCGGATGAATTTCTTGAAGCCCCAGTCTTTGCCTTGCACAAACCGATATGCACGCTGGCTCTCTAAAATCACAATATTTGTTTTGTAACAATGCAACTGTGTATCACGTAACTAATTATGTGACAATTCTGTTAATCGAGTGTTAAGGATTGTCGTGGCGACTAGCTGTACATTCTCTTTGTCAATGCGACATTTCACAACCCATTTCTTAAAATATGAAAACATAAATATAAAGCTCAGATGGACATATCACTTCAGAATCTGTTTATAAAGTTTTCTGTCTTGCTCGTTGTTAGAGGCATTAAAAAATTTATACATCACTGTCAGAGAATCAAATTACAAAACGATTTCTGAAAATATACGAGCCACAAACGACAGTGCACAAATATTCTTACCCATAGCTTTGGTTTCTTCTCTTTTGGCATTAAGTATTGAGAATTTGAACTTTGCCCTGACTTCTGACTTGTTGCATGAGACTAGAAGCAGGTACAATGAGAGGTAGTCTTTGCTTTCTTCATCAAGACCTTTCGGATTCACTCGCAAACACCTAAGAAATATATAATAAGTAAATATGTCATGTTTCATACCAGGGCGTTTCAAAAAGTAACAGCAAATTGACAATATTTCACGAAACGAATACCCCAGGCATTTCAAACTCCCACGCAGGGAAGATACAATCTTAGAAAAGGTTGGTGTGGCATGCTTGATTGGAAGGGATGCATATACAAAATGGTGGTGCCCTTAGCTGTTTGCACCGTAGAGGAGCAGCAAGCAATCATCAGATTTTTGTGGTCGGAGGTTGTGAAACCTCGTGAAATTCATAGAAGAATGCTGCAACAGTATGGAGATGCCTACATTGGCGAGAGAAGAGTGTACGAGGGAGCAGATGCGTTTAAAAATGGGCGAACATCAAACCGTGATGACAGACGCTCCGGTCGTCCATGATAACGCACGCCCTCACACAGCTGCTGCGACTCTCGACACAATTCGGAGATTGAGATTTCAGATCTTACAGCATCCCCCATACAGCCCTGACCTTGCTCCCTCTGATTATCATGTGTTTGGACCCCTGAAGGACGCTTTGAGAGGACGAAGATTTGGGAATGATGATGAGGTCAAAGCGGTGCATTCCTGGCTGAAGGCACAACCAAAAACATTTTTTTCTGATGGAATAAAGAAGTTGGTACAAAGGTGTGAGAAGTGTGTTGAAAACGAGGGTGATTGTGTAGAAAAATGACATATCATTTGTATCTCTAATAAAATTATATATCTCAAAATATTTAATTTGCTGTTACTTTTTGAAACGCCCTCGTATTACAATTTTAAGTCAGAAATCACTCAACTTCAATACCAAGTCTTTGCTGCACCGACAAAACGAGCGTAACCCACTGCAGTTAATATGCTATAATACAGTGCACAGAGCATTTTTACTAAACAGTACGAGAGCACCAACATACAGTGAATTTAATGACATGGGACAAATTTCTGTTTAATTCCTTATCTGTTATCAAAATTCAACTCCATTCTAAGGCTCTTTAAACCAAGTGGTACACCATATTTACCCACTTCTGCAATCCTAACCACACAGAAATATAAATCCACAACCTCATGACACTGTACGACTAGTTAATACATAATCACTTTACCATTTAAGCTTATCGTTGGCCCCAGCAGAGAACGTGGATGACTTCAGGACTTCACCCATTTCCTCACGACAGAAGCTGAAGTTATTGATGGTCCACATGTAACTGAATTTCACCACCTTAACCTGCAACATGAAATATCAGATGTCATTCACTGCTTGATACCATAATCTGAAGTCATAGCAGTTCCTTCAACTTTTTCGTTACACTTTTTCGCGGAATGACCCTTCTTTATACACGTATTTAAGTCAAAAATAAAAAAGTGACAGTGGAATCACGTTTCCGGAGAATCTGACGTTTCCCAGGTAACAATAATGCCGAGTAAACAGATGACGTTTCGTAGGTAACAATAATACCGAGTAAACAGATGACGTTTCCTAGGTAACCATTGTTATCGGATCTTACAGATTTTCCTGTAACTTTTTCGCCGAATGACCCTTCTTTAAAGACGTATTTACGTCAAAAAAGATTTTTAGTAAGAGTCCAGCAACAGAAATAATATTAGGAATTCTTGAGAGACAAAATTAAATATTACAATATACAGGAGAAATGGAACATTTATTCATATTCAGTACATGAAATTATAAACTCATCTTCACACTCTTTGCCTTGAGCATCTGAAATCTCACCTGCTTGCTCTAGCATTAATGTTCTTGACTTACGTAATTTGTTTGTTTCTTTGTAGGTTATTATTAGCTGTTTACTTCTGCATTTAAAAGAATGAAGCTAACATTATGACAAAACAAAACAAATCTGTTATGATTCACACTCATTTATTTTAACCTGAAAATGCGTGCAAGGCCGCCAACCCATACATCCAAAGATTCGGATCTCCCAATGATAGCAATGAACAAGGACGACATCTAGTCGCAGTAAAAACGAAGTGCGTCTGAATTGCCTGCATTCGAATGTTTCCACGAAAACGACGATTTTGCATTGCACTAATACAAACGGATCGAAAATAAATGATACAACGGTGGAGATCACAGGATCCTTTGAGAACACTGTTGCTTAAGAAAATGGATCACTGGAACGATTTTACGAAATAAAATGGCCTTTCAGCTGCACAATTTTACAGCAAATTTTAATAGTTTAGAAACGTAACCAAACACTCAAATTCATCAGAAGTTCATATAGTTGAATAAGAAGCAATGGAGTTAAAATTTGTTTTAATTTTTATTTGGCTTAGATTTGAATGGAGATGGCTGAATATTAACCTTATAGCGCCTGGTGGCAACAATACGTACCATCTGTTTCAACAAATCACTAACGACACTTTTTAATTACGACTTTCGTATTATTTTCAGTGTAAACAACAATTATTTACTTCGACAGCATTAACCAATTGATCTTTATAACGGTGAAGTGTTGTGTTTTCTTTGCGGTATGGGCTGGATTTTTTAATGTAAGCCACCATGGCCATGTTCAAGGACCTCTGAACCCAGAAGACAGCCATCTTCATACTCACCGCCGTAAAAACGTCAAATCCTACACTGGACAGTACAAGGTTTAAGGTTTTCACGGGGTGATGAGGACGACCTTCTGGGTTTTGGCGTCGTATAGATTCGTCGGAAGATGCCAACGTTTCGTAGAAACATGTTTCCATCATCAGGGTTTCATCAGGACAACACAAGATCTCTAGGCGAAGTATTCAACTATGTATAACTGTGCAATGATAAAGATGACTGTCTTCTGTGTCGTAGAGCCGTGTGACGTTTATCGACGTTTCAGAGGTCCTTCCCTGTTGCCATCTTCGTAATCGCCTCACATTCAGTCCAAAATGATGCTGCTTGTATTAACTTAAAACAATCTGGTGATTTTCTTAAGGTTTTCCAAGTTAATGTCATTTTAGTGTCGGTAAACAACGTCGTCTTTCTCAAACGTAACGTGAACAAAGTTGAATCATGAATCTCCGAACATAGTTTTAGTCAATAAAATTCCGAAAGCTCACATGCGAGAGAGGAAGGTCACGAGTTTAATGCCCGACCATTGCATTCGGTCGAAGTGTAACATTACAGCGGGGTTGAATGCTCTGTAACAACCTGTTACTACAACTGGACAGGAATGAAAGAGATGAAACGAGGAACTGGCGATTTAAAACAGTCAAAAAACCGTAGAAACGAAATAAAAATATAAATGTGGGTAAAACACGGGAGGATGGAACAGACTAGAAAAAAAAATATGTAAGGATAAGAATTTAATACATAGCATTGGGAAGGCAAAGAGAGAAAGATTTTTTTAAAAAAATGTGACGAAATAACATGAGAATATACGATTGAAGTCTTCCGGAATGTTGCAGACAGACGTTTCTGTGGAGCTTACTGCTTCCTTCATCAGGCCGATTGCAACATCCCATCCCGCCACGAGAACAAGCGTCTCCGATGAGGAAAACGAAGACAGGGAAAGTGGAAAGAAGACACGTACGTACCTGAGTGTAGCACCAGTTCTCGGCGACGGGCGTATTGACCTCTGGTGGAGGGGGCGAGGGCACGCGAGATACGGCCATCCCAGCTGTGCTGCCAGAGCTGGCCGCTGAGGCCGTCCCACTGCTGTTTGAGCTGGCTCGCTGGGGCGAGCATTCACTCACCACTGGCAACCTGCGAGAGAAGACCACAGACATCCGCGTTACTTAAATTGCGCGCGTGTCCTTCCGTTCTGCTCACAAGTGGCTCTTTAAGGCCCTGTGGTAATCGTATGCACCACGACTAAACCGATTAAAACGCAAGGGCATATACACTCTTCATTTTGCATTCACATATTTCGTACGATTCTCAACGTACACGTGGATTACGTCCTTAAACAGCGTTAAGCAGTTAATATTTGTAATGGTCACGTGCTGTGTTTTCTTTGCGGTAAGGACTCTGTATTCTTTACTATTATTTACGCGAGCTTCGGCTTCAGAGTGTTGAGGGGAGCGGAGAGGGCATAAGGAGACTCGAATTCGTTTAGAGAATACAGAAAGTGGGTGAAATTATTCAGAGCGAATTGAAGACTAGGTCAACCGACAATCAAGCCTAGAACTAGCACACAGATAGCGACGATGCGGATAAATACTTAGGCTCAGATCGTTTCTGCTGCCTGTTAAGTGCTAAAATACCGAATTAGATGGGACACGAAGCCAATGTCACAACAATTACAAGCTGGTTACACCGGCATCTGTCTACAAAATATGTAAATAAGTAATTTTCTAAACAATGCGCTAAAACAAAAGACTGTTCGCACATCTATGGCCTGCACTTACGTACAACGCGGCAAAACAGATGTTCACGTGCCAACGTTTCGCAGCTTACGTAAATGACGAGAGATAAACAATTATTTTAATTTTCATATAATCGCTTTGTTACACTTCTAAACAAGGACGATTTCTTAAATAATACTTTAAAACGCAACAGACGAGACAAACATGATTTTTTTTTCAAATCCTTTGGAATGAAGAAAATAAATGAATAAAATAATTTCGCGGGTCCAGTTACAAGTGGTTTGGGCCAGTCTGATGAAGCCGAGTTAAAAACACCGAATGTTAAGTGTAAATAAATTTAAAGGGCCATCGATTCAAGAGTACAAGCTCTTCTTTAAATGATCTTGAACGATGAGAGGCCTTTACGAGGTAGTCAAAACGTGGCTTCATGAATGTCTTCAGACGTAACATGAAAACGCCGATGCCATTACTGAAACTTCCGTGAACAACAGAGATGTTTGCAAACGGCAGTGGGAATGGGACGACGCCATAGCAGCTAGGGGTGGGCTTTCATAACGCATCACAATCGACTCAGAAATACGTACAAACACTTCAAAAATATGCAAATTTTGCTACGGAATTTTGTCTAAAAATACGGGTTTCAGGAAAGTCTGCATCTGATACCACGTTTTGTTTTCTGGGCCTCCCTAACATTATTTGGGAATTACGACAAATTGACAAGACATTCTCTTGGTAGGCTTCCAGGTTCTTACGGCGGTAAGAAGATGCCTTCTGCCTCCATCACCATGGCAATGACAGCGATTATGGAGGCAGCAAGTACATCTGAAACGTCGATAAACTTCTACCAGACTACACGGCGCAACAAACCAGAAGACAGCCATCTTCAGATATTCCTGACTGGGCAAGACACGTGGCAGGCGAATTTAACAAGGATCGTCCGGGAACAAATCGACCTACAAATATATCAGGTCAAAAACTGCTGAAGTTTAAAGAAGTTGGTCCTCTGGTTAACAAATCACGTTCCTTACAATGTTATTTATTTCATATTACTTAATTTGTTTGCCAAGACGATGGTTCAGTGGCGGGTTAAATCAGGTTATCAAACTTCTGGTAACACTAAATTTCTACGAATTGCAACATAAACAGGCCTACACTCGAAATTATTTGGTGAGGAAGATCTGGATGATAAAAATTACCCGCTCCATCATTATTAGCCTTGGGTTCTGGGTCGCAGATAAGAGATGAACGTTTATCACTTCCAAGTCTGGAGAGATTTAATCCACAGCACGAGTATGTGTTGCTCTATTTCGCTACTCCACAACATGAAACTCGTGTAAACAAATGAAAGTACTGTTTCGGGGTTTGGTGCAGGACAGACTTAAAGTAGCGGTCTCCATTTTCAGCCCTGAAGATGGAGTCTGCACGGCGCCAAAACCCAGTAGAAAGTCGTCATCATCCTCCCTGCCATGAAAATTTCTCAGTCTCACAAATGAAAGCACTGACCAACCATGCATAAAGCAGTGTTACACTCATGAATGAAACCAGTCTGAGTGGGAGACCAGGATTCGATCCCCAGAGTAGAGACTATTTCTTTGCCAACAAGCTCAAACAACACCTTAGGCCCACCCAGACTCTCGTCCAATAGACATCGGCGTTTTTTCTCCCTGAAGATAAAGCTGTCGAAACATGACGCTACCCACTCAGGTTAAAAATGTGTAGAACTTTACCTTCAGTTTCCTGCACCAGGATTGTGTTACGCGGGGCTCGAAGAGGTTTCTGTGGGCCCCTTTGTCAATTTTTGGCTAATTATTCCAACACAAGCGATAGACCAGTATAAGACCATTAATAAACATTAGCTTCGTCCAACTTTAGCGACTTATTTCATTAGATTGCCCCTGAAGAACGCGGGGAACTGAGCTAAACAAAATCTTTCCACCTCCTCCACACGTTTAAACTTATCAGCGTGGGCAAAATTTCAATACGATCCAGGTTTTACCCAGGCCAATATTATGGTGATATATAATCACACACGCGAACATCTGTGTGCACAAAAATCTGAAAGCAAGTCTCCCCCATCCCCCCAAATTCAGAGACGTAGCTTACAATTGCCAAACTGACGAGACGAGACTAGAAGTTGTTAATCCAGGATGCTTCAACGGGTTCAGTGGGTGTCCACACGAGGATCGTATTTATAGATGATAACGCGCTGAGCCTAGGGCTATGACCTTCACAAGTCACCAGCTCTCGGTCGGGTGTGGAGCCAGCGAATCTCTAGTTCCTGTACTGCGCAAGCAACGATGCAATTCAACAACAAGCAGCTTGTTCGCCCAGTGAATACGCCATGCTGCCACGCCCATCCACTCCACCCTCGATCACTGTTCACGGGGCCCTTGGACAGCTTTTTGCTTTTCAGCTGAGCATCCCCCCACTATTTACGGAACACCAGTACTCATTACCGTTCTCACAAGAGCCAGCTGAACCCAATCCATAGTTACCATGACCTAGAGCGACCGAGAGAACTTTAACAACACGGTACTTGATTTGTGGAACTATAAAACAAAACGGAACAGAACGCATTTTACTACTGGTCAATAGAACACCGCCACTGACCACGGAAACGTCGCTGATCTCGGAGCAGATGTGACAGTAAGCAACCCTGATACACGCGATCAGAGAGAGCTCTGCCACGCGGAGCAAACAATACGTTCCCCTTGAACTGCATGGCCACGGCGCGGTCCGGCGAGTGAAACAGGGGTGACCATTTTACTTAGACAAAGGCACCATCGAATATTCTCTAACCAAACAGTAAAATCAAAATGAACGCTAGGTTTTGTGGGCTTTCAGGCTCCCACGGTTACGAGTATGGAGTCGGCTGTCCGGTAGACACAGATGTTTCACAGGTACTTACTGCCTCCATCATCAGGGCGATTTCGGGAGCATGTCCGAACTGTATCCGTACTTCTACGGTATTCACCTATTCAAGTTTATATTTATTATTCTTATTCGTGGTTACATGAGTAGTCGATTCAAGAAACGCTTTGTCATAAAACCTCAAACGCCATGATAAGCGAAGTCATTTATTAATACTCCGCGCCTACAACCGATAGATTGATTTTAATATCATCCGCCCACTTCGCCTACGTCTAGCAAACTGTCACTTTCTACATGAAGTGCGCTTTTACCGCAATCAAGCCACATGTCCCGTCAACCTGAAATTCATTTCCTTTTCCATCCTCACAACAATTTAGGGAGAAATTCTGAATGTATGTTCCTCGTACTTTATCTCTCGTCATTTCCAAATACGCACGTTCTTCAACATTGCCAACATCTGGGTCTTCCTTCACAGTGTGAGACTATACACAAAAATAAGTTTATATAACCTACTTTCTCTTTGCTTCAAAAACGGTATACGAAGTTGACATTTTTTTATCGAAGATGGCGATTGAGAAACATTATTCAGAACTCCAGGAAACTGAAATCTTTTTTTGGCTCAACTACACAAAACACCTCACCTTTTATGTAACGCGAAGGCTCATCAATGTTTTCACAAAGGGCCCATATTAATCTGTATAATGAGCTTTCACTCAACCGCTGAGCGCAACTGTCGATTCCCAGCTCTCGGCTGTGACTGCATGACTCATCGCCAAGAGCTGCAAAGGTTTCCCCGTTACAAATTCAACTGAATTTGTTATAACATTTCCCGCCAGAGAGCCGGGAAATGACATTTGCATTAAATTTTATCAGTGAACAGACTATAATAGTCGATGACGGCCAAGACAAGGGTTAGACTACGGACATCTCAGTTCCCTGTTAAAGTCAATCCACACGCCTATATCACAGCTACCATCTGCGAAACCACTAATAAATATAATAATTTATTCTATATTACTTTTCATATTATTACGAATTTTCGTCATCTTAAAACTCACTGTATGAAGCCAGACTCCATTAGACAGACTATAAACTGTATCTTCCGATTTTCTTCCCAGAATCCTTTGCCAGCACACGAGCAAATTCTCATCACGGCCATAATATTACATAACAAGCAAAGTTTTTACCAGAACTTACAAGAAACAAGTTCGATACAAAGGTCAGAGTAACGATTTGTTAAAAAATACAGACATGTCAATGCTAAAATAGTAAAATGCCTTGACATTTTACAAATAAAAAAATATTTAAAAATTCGTAAAACTTCAGGCGACCGGAAGCTGCCCAACTCGAGGCTACGAGTCTTGGGAATGTCTGTACGTATACATGGGATCTCGTCTGGTATGGATTATTTTACTTACCATACGAGTCCGGTAGAATTACATTGGCAGTGATAAGCATTAGGCACACTAATATGACGCAGTTTACACGAATCATTCTCACAAACACTGCATTAATGATACTTCCTCTAAGCATCACGACTTCATGAATTA